TGCAATACAACCATAATATATCTTTACCTTTCATATATCACTATGGTTTTAAATGTTATTTTTTTTTATTTATTTATTTTTGCTTTTTTTTAAGACAGGTGACCTTGAACTCACTATGTAGCCCCTACTGGCCTCAAACTCCCAGCAGTATTCCTGCCTTAGCCTTTCAAGTGCTGGGATTACAGGCATGTGCCATTATGCCTAGCTGAAAAATGCTGTTTAAAAAGTTTAAGTAACTTTTGGGTGTAGCTCAGTGATAGAGTGTTGCTTGGCCTTCATGAAGCCTTAGGTTCAATCCCAGCACCACATAAATAGATATACACACACACAAACACACACATACAAAGAACAGAAAAACCTTGCCAACTACCCAGTTATTTCTTAATTTTAATATCATCAGTATTTACAGAGTCATACTGCCAGGTGTAGTGGTGCACACCTATAATCCCAGCATTTGGGAGGCTGAGGCAGGAGAATTGCCACAAGTTCAAGACCAGCCTGGGCTACATAGTTGAGTTCAAGGCCAGCCTGAAATGCATGAGACCCTGTCTCAAAAAAAAGGTGATACCAAATAGCTCATGCTTTTGTTGTTTTGTGGTGCTAGGAACTGAAACCAGGGCCCAGGCATGCTAGGCAAGTTCTGTCACTGAGCTACATCCCTGTTCCCCATTATTCATGGTTTTTTTGTTTGTTTGTTTTGGGGGGGCAGGGGTACTGGGGATAGAACTCGGGTCCTTGTGCTTGCAAGGCTGGCAGCAGAATCACTGAGCCAAATCCCCAGACCCCCATCATTCATGTTTTAAGTAAAACAAAACAAAAAAACCTAAGGAACAACTCATGTCATTATTATATTTTCATTCTGTGTTTGGGAAAAAATAGCTTCATTCAAATCTCTTTTTCTTTCTTTAAATATGGAGTGGTAGGTGAGGGAGTTCAGGAGGGAACTGTCTTACCTGTATCACTCAGGCTGTCCTTGAACTTGTATACCACCTGCCTCAAACTACTCTTGTAACTGGATGATAGGCTTGTGCCACCTAATGGCCAAATGTCTTTATGCTCATTAAATTATTTTATTCTCAAAACTAACATACCAGTTTCCGAATTCGGTCCAAGACAAGGTCAATGATCTCCTTGCCAATGGTGTAGTGCCCGCGGGCATAGTTATTGGCAGCATCTTCCTTGCCTGTGATGAGCTGCTCAGGGTGGAAGAGCTGGCGGTAGGTACCAGTGCGCACTTCATCTGGAAGAGAAAAACAAACCTGCTGTTCAAGCCCAGGGCCTCAACACAGCCCTCAAGACCAGACCTCGTGTCCCAGCACCCTACGCCCCACATCCCGTGGGTGTCTGAGGTCCACTCACCAATGACTGTGGGTTCCAGGTCTACAAACACTGCCCTGGGCACGTGTTTGCCAGCACCAGTCTCGCTGAAGAAGGTGTTGAAGGAGTCATCTCCTCCCCCAATGGTCTTGTCACTTGGCATCTGGCCATCGGGCTGGATGCCATGTTCCAGGCAGTAGAGCTCCCAGCAGGCATTGCCAATCTGGACACCAGCCTGGCCAACGTGGATGGAGATGCACTCACGCTGTGGGAGGAAGAGAGAAAAAAGTCATAAAATTAAGATATATTAGCATTTTGAATTTTTAGTAAAATTGAAGAAAATATTTCTGGTAACATACAGTGAAATTTATTTGGGGCACTATCTATAATATGACAAGCTAGTTATTAATGAAAAGAACCTCCTACAAATGGTGCAAATGGGTGTGGTCTGTAATACATAATGATGTCATCTAAATAATAATGCCACCTTGGCACTATGTAGCACATGGTGCCAAGTCCATTGTTCCCACAGCAATATTTGAGTATTTTTTTTATTTTTAAAAATATTCAAAGCACAGATTTTATAAAATTTAAATTGCAGTCATTAATTAGAATTTCATTTCTTCCTTCCCCTTTTAAGATGAAGGTTTCTTCTTAATAGGACTTGGTATTTTAATCTGGACATCTGAATTGCAGTTGAGGCGAAGCCACACCCTTCTGCAGTCTGCAGAATCCATCAGTGGGGGGGGGCGGGGCGCCTAGACCGGGGCTGCCTGCTGCACTGCTGTATGGCTGTGCCTGGTGCTGGCCGGCTCGGTCTGCTGCATTATTTAACAGAGCAAGCTCTGTTTCCAGCTACTGCCTACATGATCTCATTGTGCTGCTTTGTAGTGTTTCTCCAGTGACCCAGCCTAGGACCATGTGCCTGGATTGAAATGAATTAATGAAGATGTGCTAGAACAAAGACAGCTTGACGCACTGTATAATTCTTCGCAGGAATTACATTACTGAAAAAAAAAATTTTTTTACGGAATCTTACTCTGTAAAAAAGTTGAAAAATTAATAGAATCTTTATAACAGCAGTTCCTGATATAACAGGAGAAGCTACCAAACGAAAGAATAAAAGCCTAATAATGAAATACTTAAAAGAACGAAATAGTATTCATTCTGAGATTCTCTATCCACATGATATTCCTATCCTTTTTATTCCACAGATGTTCTCCATAATCTGTAGGGATACAACTTCCATTGTCTATTCACTGATAATATGGGGAGGGCGTTTCCCTGCGTTCCGACCCCCAGGTACCCAGGCTCACAAAGGCTCCTCTCACTTCGCAGCCCCCTACCTCGTCCTTGGGGCGGCCTTCCCCACTGACAAGCGAATTGTACTTTTGCTTCTCAAGAAAATATGTCACCTACGTTTTAACAGTGAATAAAAAGTCTTTTGAAGCCTACAGTTTCGCAATGATAAAAGGCTTTCATCAAAAGCTTGACAGCGGAGGTTTAGCGAGGGCCAACCCCGCCCAACGCTAGAGAGGCCAGAAACAAACAACTCCTCCCCATGAGCCTCAGGACACCGACTGCCAAGGACTGCAACAGAAACTAACCATTTTCCCGTTAATATACGGGTATCTTTCTGAAATGCCAGCGAGCCCGCAAGGGATCTTCCCATACAAACCCAAGGCTCCGCCCCATACCCCCCAGCTACACCCGGCTCCGGGTCTTTGTGGACTACAACTCCTCTCTGCGTCCCGGAAGCGCGCGAAAGGAAGGGGCCTCTCCGGGCCGCGGGGACGCGCCGGGGACACCACCGTCGTGTCGCTGTTTCCAGCCTAGACCCTTCAGTCCCGACGGACGGGATGTGGTAGTCCCGAAGGGCTCTTGGGTAACCAAAACTCCCCCCGCGCCGCCTTTGTTCTTCCTCCTGATTCTCCTCGGTGCTGGGGCGCGTTTTCTGCCGGGTTTTTGCACCCCGCACTGCGGCCGCGGGACCAAAGGGTTTAGGGCAGACAAAGCCAAACTTCACAAAGCATAGACTACCCTTACCCAAAAAGGTTACAAAGGAAATGAGTTTAAGGGGACTGACTCCACCCACTGGCCCCAAAGAGCCTGAGAAAAGATTCTTACCATGGTTGCTGCTTCGCGGCGGCAGAGCAGATGGCGGAGAGGAGAGGAGAGGAAAGGTTGCTGCTTCTTACAGCGCGACTCTTAGGCGGTCGATGTAAGAGAACCTGCGGCACAGGGGCGGATGCGGCTCCCTATATACAGCTCGGTCACCATGGGGATGGGCCAGGGCTTTTTCCTGTTGGTCCAGACCCCTCAATCTGCCCAGAGAAGTCACAACTGGAGAATGGTGATTGGTGCAAGAGACATGGGATGAGGTAATCTCTCCCCCACCCCTTTTTCTCTAGCATCCATAGACTGTTTGCATCCTTCAGACAAAGAGACGGTGCAAAGGCCGGCAGTCGAGCATCCATGATGGGGTGTGGCTGGAGGGGCCGAAAGGGGAGAAATAAGGCTGGGGTTAGACGATTGTATATTGCTTAAACCTCAAACTACAATTAAAATCAGCTGTGCAAATTTTTTTCTTACACCTAATCACACTATGTGTTGAGATTAAACATTTACAGAAAATTACAATTAGCTTCTCCCACACAGTACACTAAATTTGACTACATTCCGTTGGGATTCAGCGTTTCTAATTGCTTTAAAAATGAAGTAGGAGAGAAGATGGCACTGATGTTCAAAGTGGCTTGGATAAATGTAATTTCATTTTATTTAAGATTAAGCTGAGGCGTGAGGATCGCAAATTCAAGCCCAGCTTGGGCTATTTAGCGTGATCCCTGTCTCAAAATTTAAATGAGTACGGCTAGGCTGGGAATGTAGGTCAGTTCGAAGTCCCTGGGTTCGATCCCACTACTAGGAGGAAAAAAAAAAAGAGATTCCATAATAGAGCCATCCAAAATGATTTCTAAAGTTCAAATAAATTTTCAGACCTTCTTTTGCCCTCGAGCACACACACATCAAATTACTGTAGAAAAGTGGGGAATGGAAACAATAGCCATATTGAATAAAGATAGTTCTAACGTGGCAATAATTAAGAACTAGTATGCAGACAGTAGTTAATTGTTAGTGAGATATTCCTTTACCAGAAATCTGTGTAATATAATTTGTGTGGGTATACTGTTTGTAGAAATGAATCATTTTTCCTAATACAGAATTGGGAATAATACAAAAAGAAATTGAGTTAAAAAGCTAGTGTATCACCTCGATGTACAGATTTATTTCTGCATTGTTCTCTTCTGTAAAATATCAAGCTCCCCAAAATCCCACAAAAAACCCAAAACACCAAATTTTAAAAAGGCATTTATATAATGGAACAAGAAAACCATATTATAGTGTTGCCTCCATCCACAGACAACTGTGCAGTGTCAGCTCAACTGCGTTTCATTTTTATGTAGTTCTTAGTGAATCTGGTAAACAGTCTCTTCTGTGGTTGGGCTTTTAACTGTGGGAATTGTAGCTGCCTCACACCCTTGCTATTCAGCTGGAGACTCTGGTGGTTGCTCAATTGCCCCTCGAGACAAAAAGGCTTTGCTTTCGCCCCTAGGAAATGGATTGCAGTAACATTCTTTTGCTTTTTGGAAAGGCTCCATTATCAGCAAAGATGGGCTATGCAAAGTAAGTGAACTGTAGAGCGCTTAACGTTGTTGATAAAATTTCGGAGGTAAAGAAGTTTGACCACCAAAGTGGAAAATTTGGATTTTGATAGATAATTTTTCTAGTGTTTTTCAGTGAAAAATTTTCAGGGTCTGCAACACCACTTACAGTGTTCTGCAGAGCCCGATGGTTCAAGCTAGGGTGGAGAGCAGGGTGTGGGGGAGGGACCTAGAAAGACAGCAGCTGCTGCAGGTTGCGGCTAAGGAGGGCCTGGGGTTTCCTAGCCTGCCAGGCACTGTTCTGTTTTACTAGTTCAGATTTGCTACAGTAGTCCTTTCTAGAAAAAGTAAAACCCAACACACAAATCATTTTCTTTCTTATGTATTTCATAGGGAAAAGGAGCCTACATTTCCATCACTTTTGCAAATAAAAATATACTTCAGTAGAGATGGGAATTAAGGATGATTTGAATGCTTTTTTCTGAAACCATAAATAGATTTAACAAAAAAAAGAATTAAATGATATAGAGAACATAAGGATGAATAAGAAGCTCCTTCAAAATACTTATTTCATGAACAATAGACATTGGGAAATGTGAAGAAAATGTTCAAATGAGAAGGGGAACAAGGGAGGGGAAGAGGAAAGGAAAGAAGGGACAAGAAAAAAATCGAAGGAAAAAATGGAAACAAAGCTTTTGTATACAATAAGGGAAATGGGGGAAAAAAGAAGAAGCAAGATATATCATGTACTGGTACAAATTCCCTTTGATGAATTTATCTTTATGTATATCTAAAATGTGCCAATAAATGTTTTGCTAAAAAAATACTTATTTCATAATTTTGATAATGACAAAAAACATACTGCTGGAGCATGGTAAAGTGTACAATTTTTAAAAAATGAGGCACAGTCTTGAATTTTGTTTTCTTTATAATGTAAAAGATTAATTAAGAAATATTTTCTTGGCCAGGGATTTGGCTCAGTAGCAGCTGCACCTGCCTCACAAGTGCAAGGTCCTGAGTTCGATCCCTGGTACCAAAAAATACATATATATATATATTTTCTCAGTAGTCTATTCTTTTTACATCTTACAGAGAATTAAATGAGAGAAGAGGGTTCATGCAGTTGACTCTTTGTAAGTATCTTACACTCTGTTCTTTATGTAAATAAGGATTTTTTTCCTCTCGGGATAAGTAACAGTAATACCTAGGTCATAAATAAACAAAAACATTAATAATCTTAAATATGTAAATAAGAGATCAGGGGAAATAACCAATCTGTATTTTTTTGCTCCTAATTATGTGATTAAGTAGCATTCAAACTATAGAAATCAAAAAAATTTTCTTTGTTTAATCCTCATTTTTACTGTTAATTTCTTTATTTTACATCAATAGACATGTATAAGTACTTTAACAGATTTTCTTCTGTACTCAGTAATATTAGAATAAACATTTTTATTTCATAATATTTGTGGAATTTTGCTGGGGATTTAGCTCAGTGGCTTTGCTGCCTGGTCCCAAATTCAATCCCTGGTACCAAAAAAAAAAAAAAAAAAAAAAAAAAAAAGAGGCAGGCTTTCAAACAAAAAAAAAGATGCCAAGGAATTGTGGGTGATATAGCCTTTTGTTTTTTCTTTTTGTACTGAGAATCAAACTCCAGTCCTTGCATTTGTGAGGCAGGCAGCAGGGTGATATAGTTTTTAAAGTACAGATAGTCAACAAAGCTTTTTGTTTGTTTATTTGAGACAGGATCTGTATACTTCAGGCTGGCCTTGGCAATCCTCCTGCCTCAGCTTCCTGAGTGTTGATATTTCAGGCCTGTGCTACCACGCCTACTTTGTAACAAAGTTTTTTTTGCGGGGTGGGGTTAGACAGTGTCTCCCTGTGTAGTTCAGACTGGCCTCAAACTCACTATGTCACTACGTAGCCCAGGCTATCCTGGAACTCACAGCAATCCTCCTACCTCAGCCTCCCAAATGCTGGGTTTACAGCTGTGTACCACCATGCCTGGCAAATAAGCATTTTTTTACTCCAGTCTGAAGAAGAAGTTTGGATGTGAGTACATAGACTGTAAAGCCTTTTTATCTAGTAGAAAAGAATGGCAATTTTATGAAACAAGCAGCAATTTTTTTTTTTTTTTTTTTTTTTTTGGTACTGGGGATCAAACTCGAGACCTTACGCTTGCGAGGTGGTGGCACCACCACTGAGCTAAATTCCGGGCCCTAAGCAGCAGTTATAAAATTAATCTGACAAGTGTATGAAGTGGACAAAAAAATCTATAAGCAGAAACCAATAAGGAAGTTATTGTAATAATTAAAGCAAAAAGTCTCAGACCATGGTAAGGAATGGATAGAGATAGATAATAGAAGAGTCCATTCAAAGAAGCATCCTGCTAGTGATTAGTCAGATATAATGGTAAAAGGAAGAAATCAAAATGAGCCATTAAAATTCTTATCCTGGAAGACTAAGAATGAAGTGTTTGTGGTGGTATTTATAGAAGTAGGGAAGTTGAAGCCCAGTGTGGTGGCGCACGCCTGTGATCCCAGCACTCGGGAGGCTGAGGCAGGTGGGTCGCTGTGAGTTTGAGACCAGCCTGGGCTACATAGTGAGTTCCAGGTCATTCTCAACTACATAGTGAGACCCCGTCTCAGAAAGAAGGAAAGAAAGAAAGAAGTTGAGAGGGAGGTAAGTCTGAGCAGGAAATGCATTTGTGTGTGTGTTGGGGGTAGGGCGCTGACAGCAGGAAAGTTCAGTTCATATCTAATAAGTTGAATGTTGAGGTAATGGTGGGATTGATCCAGAAGTCTTAGAAGCCACTGAGCACCTGAAATTGGCACTGCTTGAAGAAAGATCAGGATTAGAGAGTTGGAGATGTATATTTGGAATCGAAAGGACAATAGCATAACTATAAGGCTGGTGAAAATGAGAACCAAGACCTGTCATGTAAAGGTACAAGAACCCAGTAATGAATTTAACTGTACTGTATACCTAAAATGTACCCACTCAATTAAAATAAATTATAAGGCTGGTGGTCTGTTAAGAAAATAGAATTCTCCAAATGTAACCCGGAATTTCAAATTGTTTCACTGAAAGGGAAAGAGACAGATTTGAGGTGTATTTAGGAAGTTAATATACCAGAATTAAGAACAGATTCAATAAATTAAAAACAAGGGCTGGCATGGTGGAGCAAGCCTGTAATCCCAGCACTCAGGAGGTTGAGGCTGGAGGATCACCGTGACTTTGAGGCCAACCTGGAATCCATATCAAGCTCAAGGATAGCCTGAACTACATAGCAAGACCCTGTCTCAAAAATAAATAAATAAATAAATAAAATTAAAAATTTAAAAAATAAAAACAAAGGCTTGGGTACTGCTTAGTGGTAGAGTACATACTTTAATGTGCCTGAGGCCAGGACCCATCTAGGTTCAACCCACAGGACCCAAAGTGATGATGATCATGGTGATGATAAAACAATAAAAGACTGCAAGAGAAAGAAGTCAGAAAAAAGAAATAAAGGAAGAGGTAAGGCAGAAGACACTGATGTTACAGAAAAAAAGAAGAGTCCATTAACAGTGCCATGACCAGGGGTGTTTTTCTGAGGTAGAATATATGTGCTCAGGATGCACAAGTCCCTGGGTCAATCCCCAGCACAAAGAGGGAAAAGAAAAAGTGCTGAGAAATATCAACTACTGCACGGGAGTTAAATAAGAATAGAAGAGTATTTCCTTGATTTAGCAGCAAGGATATTAGTGTATAACAAAAGCTTGTTATATACTGCCCCTGTCTTTGTATATATAATGCTCCTGTCTTAGTTACTTTCTCATTGCTGAGACAGAATACCCAACATCCACAAGTTAAAGGAGGTACTTGTGTGTGTGTGTGTGTGTGTATACTTTTAAGTGTGATATCCTAGCATGTGGTAAAGATAATGTACTACGAGTCTAAGGAAGAAACTTCTCTGCAAAGCCAGATGACAAGTTTTCCTCTGCAGTGAGAACAAGCTATGTTTTTGTCTTCTCTACCATCAGCATAGTGAAGGAGGAAGAGAGTGGGGTGAGGGTGGGGGGGAATCCAGGGACCCTTTGACACAGGAGGTCCTTTGGGGTTCCCATGCAGGAGGGTGCTAGATGAACCAGATCACTCTACCCAAGTTTTTGGCAAAAATAAAACACCCCACCCATCCTAATACTCATCTTGCCTTTCCTCCCTACTTCCAGGGCCTTCTGAATAGCTTATTTTCCTGTAAAAATCAATCATCAGAAAAGAAGAGCCAGGCATGGTAGCATTCACCTGTAATTCAAGCACTCAGAAGGCTGAGGCAGGAGAATCACTGGAAATTCGAGGCCAGCCTGAGCTACTTAGCAAGACCTTGTCTCAACAAAACAAGATAAAATAAAACAAAAGAAGGAGAGAAGGAGAGGGAGAGGGAAGGAGAAGGAGAGGGAGCAAGGTGGAGGGGGGGGAGGGAGACGGGGGAAAGAGCTACAATGGAACAAAACAAAGATACTGAATAACTTTGACAGGGAGCTCAGGTTCAGAAGCTGGTAGATAAGAACTTATCCCTTGTGAGCATTGAGGCCCAGCCCTTCTGTGTGATGCCCAAGACTCATGCTGGCACGGACCACCCTTGGGAGAGCAGAGGATGCATAGGGTCCAGGCAGGCTGTTGCTTTGTGTCCCAGGTCTTAGTCCCTTGGGAAGATAGTGGGTGTGAAGTGGCTTGCCTTGCTGGCCCCTGCCACTCCTGGCATGACTTCAGAAGTGAAGATGTGAGGGCCAGGGATATAGCTCAGTGGCACCACGCCTGCCTCGCAATTGCAAGGTCCTGAGTTCAATCCCTGGATCAGAAAAAGAGAGAAGAGAAGAGAAGAAGATGTGAAGCACCCTTTTCAACATTAACTCCTAGCATGTTAACAAAAAGAAAAAAAGAAAGAAAGAAAAAGAGGACCCCTCTCCCTCCTCTGCCTAGGTGGAGAAGAAATCCTCCCTTTCCAACCCCAGCAGGGCTTCCCTGTCTGAGAGGAACAGGGAGAGGAGAGCAGCCCTGACGTAGGAAATAAATTCTCCAGAACAGCCTTTGCCCTACCTCCAAGGCTTCCTGGTGCCCCCAAACCCAGCAGAGCCCAGACACAGGTTTCTGTGGTGGGGATACAGCATGGTGCTGAGTGGCTGGAAAGAAAGAAAGAATGAAGGGAAGGAAAAGGCGGTCTAGGAGTCCAGTGTTGGTACCATGTGGGGCAAGAACCAAATGCCACTGTCACAGCAAGGCCAAACTCTGCTTCTTGGTCAAACTCTAAATTTAAATCAGGCAATAGACATGATTATGCTAGCATAATGAATTTATATTTCTCTTCATTTTAAGATTCAGTTAATCAATATATTGAGTACATTGGGACTGGCAATGTTTGGTCCTTAAAAATTAGCTACTGAGCCAGGCGTGGTGGCACACGCCTGTAATCCCAGCATTTGGGGAGGCTGAGGCAGGAGGATCACTGTGAGTTTGAGACCATCATAAGTTCCAGGTCATTCTCGAGTACAACAACAACAAAAAAAAATTAGCTACTGAATTCTATTGCTAAAAATTGGCCAAATTTTTCTCATTGGCCAAATTCCAGTGCTAAAAATTTAGATAAGAATATGATCCCACATCTAGAATTCAGAATCTTATGTAAAGGTAACAAACTTTTCCCCAAACTTGGGTCAACATAATACAATATTACTAAATAGCTTTTTCTCGGTAACTAATTATCTTGTGGTCATTCTGGTAACTGAATTTTATGTATTTGAGAAAGGATTTTTGTGTGTAGAGCAGAGATAAATATTAATGAATTTCTATTTCCAAAGTAAGACTTGTAATGCAATAAATACTTGTACTTTGTAATATAAAAATGCATCTCAGCATTGGAATATAATGCTTTGAAATCCACTGATGTTTAGTCATTTACTGACCATTCTTTTCAAGAAACATTTATGGGGGCTGGGGATTTAGCTCAGTGGTTCCACCACCTGACTTACAAGCGCAAGGTCCGGAGTTTGATCCCCGGTACCAAAAAAACGAACAAGAAACATTTACATCCTAATATATACATTTTATTATTTATTTATTTATTTTGGGTTTTTGAGACAGGGTCTCACTATGTAGTTGAGACTGACCTTGAACTCACTACATAGCCCAGGCTGGTCTCGAACTCACAGTGATCCTCCTGCCTCAGCCTCCTGAGTGCTGGGATTACAGGCATGCACCACCACACCCAGCCTAACATATACATATCGAACTCACTGATCCTCCTGCCTCAGCCTCCTGAGTGCTGGGATTACAGGCATGCACCACCACACCCAGCCTAACATATACATTTTAATCTATAGCTCTGGTACACTGAGGTAGTTGTTTATCCAAGCCTCCTGGTGAAATGTGACAAAAGGAGACAAAATTTAAAAGAGGCTCAAAGGCATCCTGAGAAGAGAAGAAAGAAAAGGAAATGGCAAAAATAGTAATCTCAATTTTCATGAAATTCCATTCATAATCTGGTGGCATTTCTTTGACTCAAATTGTCTACACTCACAGGAACTCATATGAAAACACCTCTGCTCAGCCCCCTTCTTTCCCTGAAGTGGATGGAAATTAGGTGGCAGACTGGGAAGGTTGCCATGGAGCACTGGCTCTAGGGATTTAATAGTAATCAAAGAAACTCTGCTCCCCTCCCACAGCCATCCAAATGTGACTTTCTCTCTTTTCTTTCACATCCTTGTCTTAATTAAGTCTATCATGTAGATAAACCAGGGTGAGACTGATTTACTAGTGAACAGAAAACATTTCATCTCCAAAAGTATTTATTGGTACATTGAACTTATTACACATAAAACACTGGAATTACAACTGGTCAATTTTCATGTATATATAGCTACACAAAAAGTCAGATTTTTTTTTTTAGACAGGGTCTCACTATGTAGTTCAGGCTAGTCTTGAACTCACTATGTAGCCCATCATACTGGTCTTGAATTTACAGTCATCCTCCTGCTTCAGCCTCCCGAGTGCTGGGATTACAGGAGTGTGCTACTATGCCTGGTAGAATTTATTTTAAAAAGCCTTATATAACCTGTCTCAGTCTTCAGGATTTATATTTCTTATTGGTTTTATCTCCCTGATGACTAGCAGACATCTCAAATTCAACCTACCTAAATAAAACTGTTTTTCTCTGTTATGCTCATCAGTATTTTACATCTTCAATATTCTCAATTATTATATATTCTTTATTTTTAAATTAAAAAAAAATTTTTTTTGTACCAGGGATTGAATTCAGGACCTTGTGCTGGCAAGGCAGGTGCAGTGCCACTGAGCTAAATCTCCGGCCCCATTATTCTATATTCTTAATATCAGTTCATTGTCACCATCTTTTATTTACAAAGTTAGATTAAAATAATAATAAACAGGCCGGGGATTATCTCAGCAGTTCTGCCGCCTACCTTGAAAGTGCAAGGTCCTGAGTTTGATTCCTGGTACCCCCCCAAAAGATAATAATTATAACCTTCCTGTAACACTGAGTTCTGGGCACTATTATAAGTACTTTATGTATATTCATTTAAATTAATCCCAACTGCTCATTGTATACCATCAAGTTAATAAACAATTATCCTCAGTACTGAGAGTTGAACACAGGGCTTCACACACCCTAGGCAAGCACTCTACCACCAAGCTACATCTCCAGCCCTTGTTATTTTATTTTGAGACAAAGTTTGACTAAATTATTCAGGCTGGCTATGAACTTGTTATCCTCCTTCCTCAGCCTCCTGAGTAGCTGGTATTACAGACATGTGCCGATACAGTTGGCTTCAAAATTATCTTAACAACTGCAGAATGAACAAATCTAATCTGCTAAACTTGACTCATTTTGTTTGACAGTGGGCCTAGTTCAAGGGGAAGATGTGACAGAATATTTAGGACTCAATCTTTAAGTTCCTTCTTTAAGCATTACATGTATAAATCTAAGTCCAAGATAGAGGATATCCCTCTGGAACATGCTGGGATAATCCAGCACAGCAGTGTTCCCTAAATGAGCTGTAGCAATTATGGTCCTATTTATAATTATCAAGTTCCATTTCTTCCATTACAGAATCTGATTCAGTAAATCTAATTCAGTCAATAGTATAGTCTTAGACTTAATAATTCACCATTTTGGAAACTGAACAATTTTAGTGTGTTGGAAATGGTTTGGTTATTCCTTTTTTTTTTTTGAAATAGGGTCTTGCTATGCTACCCAGGATAGCTAACTCAAGAGCCTCCTGATTTAGCTTTCCAAATTTCTAGGATTACAGGCAGATACCATGGCACCCAGCTTAGTTATTTCTAAATTCCAACAGCCCCTAGATTAATTGAAATTACTCCCTTTATGCTTGTATCACTAAAAGGCACAACTTCAAATGAGGCCCAGCCTGAAAGGGCATTTTATGAAACATTTCTAGAGTTCGATCCTGGGACCAAAAAAGAAGGAAGGAAGGGAATGGGGGAGAGAGAGAGAGAGAAGGACAGAGAGAGCGTTGGGCATTTGGCTCAGTGGTTCCGCTGCAAGATCCCCAGTTGGATCCCCAATACAAAAAAAAAAAAGATTTCTAGGGTGTGGATATAGCTCAGTGGTTTAGAGCACTTGCCTACCATGAACAATCCTGTGTTCAATCTCTGGCACTGAAACAAACAAAAAACCTTTATCTTCCTTAAGATTTAAAAATTGAACCTGTGGGGCCCAGGATGTAGCTCAGTGGCACCATGCCTGCCTGGCAAACACAAGGTTTTGAGTTCAACTCCCGGTACTAGAGAAAAAAGAAAAAGTACCAAAAATTGAACCTGGAGTGATAATGCATGCCTGTAATCCTAGCATTCAAGGGGCTGAGGTAGGAGGAGCCCCATGAATTTGAGGCCAATTTGGAATACATAGCAAGACCCTATTTCACAAAACAAAACAAAGTTGGTTGTGGTGGTGCACACCTGTACTCCCAGAACTGCAGAGGTTGAGGAAGGAGGATTGCTGCAAGTTCAAGGCCAGTCTGAACTACATAGTGTCTCAAAAACCAAAAGAAAAAAGTTGATCATGCTTATGCCAAAAAGTTAGGGAAAAACTGTTGTTTCCCTCTGCCCAGCCTAAAAGATCATTTAACAAATGTTTCTCCATTTCCTTAAGCTTAAACACTGATTATAACTTAAACACTGATTATGCATATATAGAAGAGAAAGGGTTAGGAAAGGCTAAAGGTTTTTTTTTTATTCATCTGCTTTTATGAAGAGCAACGTGTCATTTTAGTATACAGATTATAAGAGATTTAGAGGTTAATTCAAGAGAGCATAGCCTGAAATAATTCCCTTCCTTTGTAAGATTGTCCTTAGATATAATATATTAAAAAAATAAGTCCACAATTAGTATTTTTAATGATTTCAATATTTTTAGATCTGTTAAGGGTGACTTCACGCTCACCCCCATGTTACTAAGCAACGTATCCAGTTGCTAGGAAACAGAATAGCAAGGTCGAGGGTACTTCAGACTCCTGTTATCACTTTCATATCATAGGACTGTACCCTAGAGAATTTTACCGCTTTAGAGAAAAGAGAAAAAGAGTTAACAGCATATGAAAATGATAAAAAGAAACACAAGGCTTGGAGAATCAGAGAATAAAATAGGAAAATGGCAAGGTATTTGAGGAGAGTGTGTGAGCTTTGGCAAAGAAAGGCCATTATGCAATTTCCTTCAGTGAGTCATGGAAAAACCTTGAATTGCCAGTGCTTAGTTTCATATTCTGCATACTTTGCTAAAAAAACCAAATTAGGGCCAGGGATTTAGCACAGTGGCACCACACCAGCCTCACAAATGTAAGGTCCTGCGTTTGATCCCAAAACCAAAACCAAAACCAATTAGCATTCATTATTTAAAATTCCCAAGTCAGGCCAGGCGTGGTGGCACATGCCTGTAATCCCAGCACTCGGGAAGCTAAGGCAGGAGGATCGCTCTGAAAGTTCAAGTCCAGCCTAGGCTACAAAGTGAGTTCAAGACTACCCTGAAATACATAATAAGACCTTATGTCAAAAAAATTAAAACTAAACAAATTCCTAAATCAGATATACATCCCTATTTCCTTCCAGCTCTCTCAGAATAGTAAAAAGTGGCAATACTGAGAGGAAGGTTAGAATGTAGGTGTTCTTGGGCAAATTTAGAAGCACAATGTTCATAAGACTAATTATGCATTTCTGTACAAACTTTTAGAAATCTTATATAATAGGAAGAAAGAAGAAGCTGTTGTGCTCCACATGGAAGACTCTGTTGTATCTGAAACAAGAAACCAGGCTCCAGGTTCATTGTGTGCATGTAAAAGGTCGAGTCTTTGTGTCTTTGTGTCACTGTGGTATTTACTGTTGCTAACAACCAGGAAGCTCCCCAGTGATTGTTGCTAGGTCCTGCTCACCTCTCTGCCTGAAACCTTAGTGCCAGAGCCACCAGAGATAAAATCGCTGCAAAAAAATCCAGCTCCCCTTATCCCCAATGGTTTTACAGCAAACTGTGCATTTTGTAGCCTGTGAAAATTGGTGTAAAATGGAGGTATTACTCAAAGAGCTCATCCTCAGCTTCCTCTTCATGAATGCCAGCTCTCTTGATGCAGAGCACTGACAGGACCTTGGAGAATAGATTAATTAAAATAAGATTTATATTCTGATGTCCTCAGCTTTAAATGCATAATAAAGATGCTAAGACAAGGAACAGAGAAAAGATTTCATCAGATTTACGTGACTTCCTGGTCTTGGCCAGGATGGTTCCCTAAACATTTACTGACAGCTTGAGATCACCTTAAATATTCACAGTTGCCATAATACGAATGTTGGTACCAACAGGGCAGAGTGGTGCACAACTATAATCCTAACACTGGGAGGCTGAAGCAGTAGGATCAAAAGTTCAAGGCCAGCCTGGGCAGTTTAGCAATTTAGGAAGACCCTGTGTCAAAACATTAAAAAATAAATAAAAGTGCTGGAAATGTAGCTTAGTATGAGGCTGTGGGTTCAATCTCCAGTGCCAGGAAAAAATATGGGTGGTTATCATTTCCAAATACAATGCCAGAAGATTCTGATTAAAGCTGCTCTTTAGCCTATCCCAGAAACCACTAAACTCATCTTTTAAAATTAAACAACAAATCAATACAACTCACTCACTCAGAGGCATCCTGTATGAACTCAAATGGTACACTATGCTTCCTGGGTAGATGGTCAAAGTTCTGAACTTGAAAACAACTGCAAATTTAGTCTGAGATTTAGAAAAGATTAATGTTGAGATGACATAAATCTACTTAGGTCAGGCACCTAGACTCCAAAACAGGTTCTGATTGTTGTGAATATTATGAGTACCTAAGGAAGGCTAAAAACTTTATTTTACTAATTTAGTCCTCAAACTAATGCTAGGCAGCTGGGTATACAGTTTAGTGGTAGAACACTTGCTTAGTGAGTGTGAGGTCCTGGGTTTGATCCCCAGCACCACAAGGGAAAAAAATCTAGAAGGCAGATACAATTATATTAATTATTTTCTTCAGTTGTGGGAACTGGAGTTTAGAGAAGTTAAACAGTATGAGCAAGGTCACTTATAGCTAATAAGTAGCAAAATGAACATTCAAACCTGGGTCTGTCTGCCTTCAGAGTTTGACTCTCAGCCTTTATTCTGTTTTGTTTAACAGAAAATATTTCCCATATGGAAAGAAATTGCATAATACAGTAGTGTATCAAGGTGAAGAGCACAGGCTCTGGAGTCCCTCTGTCCCTTCACAACAGAGGATGGTATCAGAATGTCTCCTTACTCTGAGGGATTGGCCTTGCTTTAAGGACGTTACCAGGGCACTCCTCCAGAACCCAGCAATTCAGCATTGCTGGATTTCCTCAAATTTAGGTTATTCAGTCTATAATAACACCTCATGGGGTCTTTAGGTGGATTCTCCCACTGGGGCTCTGCAATCCCAGTCCAGTCAACCTAATAGTTCTTCATATCAGGCAGACTTGACGCCCAGGATCATCCTGTATCCCTCTGATCTCTCTTTTCCTCACCAAATAAGAACGGGACATCGTTTTAGGAAGAACATGCAGTCTGATTTCTTATTTAGAAAAAACATTTTCTTTAAAAGGGTGATCAGGAAGACCACAGCATTTTATATTATGCAGACCTTGGTTCAGTGTATTGGAGATACACTGTATCAAAATTTCATTTCAGAATGTAATATTTGCTTTCTTTTACGCAATTAAAAAGTTCATTGAATTGGTATTCTCAAAATAAACATTTCAAAACAAACATTTGATATTTAAAAATTTTCAAAAGCCTTCCTTTGTGCATGCAGACTGGGCAGGAAACATGAAATAGTCAAGCAGATGCTACACTGGAATTTTGTTCTAAGAGGTTCTTTTTTTCTTAAAACAGTTTCTCTTTGTAGCCCAGGCTAGCCTTGAACTCTCTGTGATCCTCTTTCCTCAGGCTCTAAAATGCTGGGATTATAAGTTACCACCACACCCAGCTGGTTCTAGAACCAACTGTATGTACCTATTCCCAACTCTGTGTTCAGTGACATCATATTGAAATTGGCCTTGATGGAAATATTTATACTATGGAAATTGGCAAATGCTACAAATTAGGACTCCTTCTCCCTTCCTCAGTGCCAAATATTTAATATTTATCACAAAACTACTAGGAACAGAGTGAGATCCTGTCTAAAAGAAAAAAAAAGCTAGAAAAAAAAAAACAAAAAAACACTAGGAGAATCATTCTTAAAAAGCAGTGCATCAGACCAGGGATTTAGCTCAGTAGTTCCACCATCTGCCTCAGAAGTGCAAGGTCCCCATGAGTTTGATCCCCATGCCAAAAAAAAAAAAAACAAAACAAAAAACAAAAAAATGCAGTGTATCAAGCTAGGCATGGTAGCACACACCTGTTATTCCAGTACTGGGGAGGCTGAGGCAGGAGGATGGCTTCAAGTTTAAGGACATTCTGGGCTATATAATGAGACCCTGTCTCCAACAATCAATCAATCAACAATGCAACTTCCCTGAAGTAAACTGTAGTCCATCCTTGTGTCACCTATTGCTGGTCTCCATGTATCATATAAATGAAGGGAGTCATTTGCTCAGTGGTGTGTGCTATTACAAATTTTATTGTGAGGCCATACAGCACAGACCTTCAAGCACAAGGCTTAGCAGAAGTCGTGTTCACCAATTTGACACAGGACAGGCTGTACTATGATCCAAGTCTTCTCAGAACAGGGTACCATCTGGAAGAGTCTACAACAGAAGGGACAGTGCAGTTTGTAGGGATAGCACCTTTCAGTCATTAGTGTTTGTGAGTAGACTGGATTTTGGAATGATCACTCAAAGAATATTTACTGATATCTGTATAGGTTTAGTCTCTGTGTGAGAAGCCTTGTGATCTGACTGTGAATGATAATTGTGAGAAAAATAGGATTTTAAACTTCTGACTTCTGGACAAGAGGAAAGGAGAAGAGGGAGAAAGAGTGGTATAAGTGCAGATAATAGGGATGTGAATATGATCAAAGTACATTATACACATTGAAACTCCCATAATAACATGTGAAGTTAGGGGAGAAGGTGGGACAAGGGGAGTAATGAGGAGGAATGATTTTTTTTTTTTTTTTTGAGACAGGGTCTCACTATGTAGTTCAGACTGCTCTGGAACTCACTGTGTAGCCCAGGCTGGTCTCAAACTCACAGCAATCCTCCTGCCTCAGCCTCTTGAGTGCTGGGATTACAGGCGTGTGCCACCACACCTGGCAGGAATGATTAAATAAATAAATAAGCTACACTTTGCCAATTAGAGATTTCTGTAAGACTTGATAAAAGAAAATCAGTGGTGCTGCACATACCTCAAAAGCACAAGGTCCTGATTTTGATCCTTGGTACAAAAAAATAAAAAAAATCAATCAGCCATGCACTGTAAATTCTAAATCCTTATAAGTTTCTAGTATAATTTTTCTTACTAAATACAGATTAGTCTGTCATGACTTTCCTCACAGTAGCTCACCCTGCTTTTTCCAAAGTGTCCTTTTACATTGCTTTTTTACCTTTTACTCAACCCAATCTTGCTCTCAGAGTCAGTTTCTCCCTCACTTTTCTCTTTTACTTTTTAAAATTTTTAAATGAACTTTGTCACTGCTTAAATAAATGAATAAAACAGATCAAAAGTCACATTTAGGTAGTTTCTAGGAATTTGTATTTGGCACTCAGTTAATTAAAAACAAAATCCAGACATGGTGGTACTCACCTAGAATTCTAGCTCTTGGGAACCTGAGGGCAGAAGGAGTGCAAGTTCAAAGCCAGTCTGGGCTACACAATGAATAGTGGCTTGTCTCCAAAATACAGACGACGACGACAACAAAACTATGAATATTACATGAAATTTACCTAGTTGGGCCTGTAATCCCAGCACTCAGGTGGCTGAGGCAGGAGGATCACCTCGAGTTTGAGGCTGGTCTCAGCAGCATGGTGAGTTCAAGGCCAGCCTGAACTACATAGTACATAGCCAGACCCTGTCTCAAAAATAAATAAATATTTTACCTAGTAAAGTTTCCTATCATGGAAGGTGTGATGGGAAAAGTAGAGATGCAAGAAGATTCTATGATTAGAGACCAATATCTGAGGCTAGAGGAGTAGCTTGATGGTTGAATTCATACTTAGGATGCTTAAGACCCTGGATTCAAACTAACCCCTCAAAGTCTAATACCATTTTATACCAACTAGGATGGCTGTGTGAACTCCTCAAACTTTTAAACACAGTATTACTATTGTTCTCAGCACTTCTACCAATTCTACTCCCAGGTGTATACCCAAGAGAAAAATCTTTGATGACATAAAAGTTTATACACAAATGTTCGTAACAACATTATTTATAATAGCCAAAACGTGAAAACAGGGCCGGGGATTTAGCTCAAGTGATGCTGCTGCCTTCCTCGCAAGTGCAAGGACCTGAGTTCCATCCCTGGTACAAAAAGAAAGAAAGAAAGAAAGAAAGAAAACAGACCAGACATGGTGGTGCAGGCCTGTAATCCCAGCCTGGACTGCATAGTAAGACCCTGCTAAACAAGAGAAAGGAAGAAAAAAGAAAGAAAGAAAGAAAGAAAGAAAGAAAGAAAGAAAGAAAGAAAGAAAGAAAGAAAGAAAGAAAGAAAGAAAGGAAGGAAGGAAGGAAGGAAGGAAGGAAGGAAGGAAGGTGCCCAAACATTCATTAACTGTGAGTAAATAAATTGTGGTGTATTTTTATAGCAAAATATTATTCAGGAATCAAAAGGAATAAAGTACTAATACACAGTATAACACAAATGAGCTTTGAAAACATTAT